AATAAATTATAAAATCTAAACTACAAAATAAAATTGCAGGAATTAAATGCAAGAAAATAAATCTATTCTATAAGCATGAAATAAATCTAAGGCAAGAGGGTTCTAGCCTCTTGGCTATTTAACAAGAAAATAAAATCTAAACTACAAGCATAGAAATAAATCTACACTAATAAGCAATAAAAAAGAAAAAGAAAGAAAATGCAAACCTTCAAATAATTCTTCATCTTCATCTTCATCTTCATCTTCATCATCCAACAAAGAGAAGAAGAGAAAAATTTAAAGTGGTGAAAAAATTATTATTATTAATTGCAACTAAAGTTATAATTTTTGGAAGGCCTTCTCAATTAAGAGGGCATCGATGCTCCAATAAGAATTCTGACTTCACGGTTGGCTTCATCTCGTTGAGATAGGCGATTTTCATATATTATATGTTAAATTCCGCCTTCCGGATTGGGAGATATCGTCGTTTCTTTGCAGCCAACTATCTTGATACATTTTTTTTCATATTTAATTTTTTTATTTTCTCCGGCTTCTACAGGCTACTCGGCTTGATTCTGGGCTTGGGATTTTTGACTCTTGCTTGTGTTCTTCATTTAATTCATGGGTTTTTGTTGAGATAAGAGATCTTGGGCTTTATTCTTCACTAACCTGCAATTAAAGATAAAAAACAATTATTAGTGGTATATTTATTCATTAAAAATAAATAATGAGGGTATAAAATTATAATAAAATGTGATTATCAAGAGCCGAGGACTTTATGCCGACTAAGGAGTCGTTGCGCCTTGGGCCTATCCTGAGGCGGCACCAGGGCCTTGTGACCGATTGAGGAGTCGTGGCACCTTGGGCCTGTCCTGAGGTAGCACCAGGGTCTTGTGACCAACTGAGGAGTCGTTGCGCCTCAGGCTTACCCAGATTAGGAGCCGAGGACTTTATGCCGACTAAGGAGTCGTTACGCCTTGGGCCTATCCTAAGGCGGCACCAGGACCTGGTGACCAACTGAGGAGTCGTGGCACCTTAGGCATGTCCTGAGGCGGCACTAGGGTCTTGTGACCGACTGAGGAGTCGTTGCATCTCGGGCTTACCCAGATTCGGAGCCAATGACTTTATGCCGACTAAGGAGTCGTTGCGCCTTTGGCATGTCCTGAGGTGACACCAGAGTCTTGTAACCAGCTAAGGAGTCATGACACCTTAGGCCTGTCCTGAGGCGGCACAGGGTCTTATGACCGACTGAGGAGTCGTTGCACCTTGGGCTTACCCAGATTAGGAGCTGAAGACTTTATGCCGACTAAGGAGTTGTTGCGCCTTGGGCCTGTCCTGAGGCGGCACCAGGGCCTTGTGACCGACTAAGGAGTCGTGGCACCTTAGGTCTATCCTGAGGCGGAACCAGGGTCTTGTGACCGATTGAGGAGTCATTGCACCTCGGGCCTACCTAGATTAGGAGCCGAGTACTTTATGCTGACTAACGAGTCGTTGCGCCTTGGGTCTGTCCTGAGGCGGCACCAGGACCTTGTGACCGACTGAGGAGTCGTTGCGCCTTGGGCTTACCTAGATTAGGAGCCGAGGACTTGCATTTTCTCCTAGGGCCAAGAGTTGACTGTGGGAATTAGCAAAAAGGATTGTGCCTTGGTTTTATCCTGAGGTACCAAGGACTTTTATCGACTTCGTCGAGTGGCTAGCTGACTAGGTCTTTGATGTCTTTCTTTTCACTTTTGACATTTCCATTGATTATTGGAATTTATACATGATAGAGTACAATTCATTCATATTTATTCTATCGAGTTGCGTTGAATTCGTGTTTCTTGCCCAGACGCATTTTGAAGATGGCTTTTGCCGAAGACAGGATCACCGAAGCGGAGTTTCCTTAGTTGTTTCTTTTCGCCTGTGAACATTTCTGCCTTAATGAGAGCGAGTTGTTGCTTCATTGGTTGTCTTTGTTGCCAAACCGAGGAGCACCCAGAATCGGGGATTGCTCTTCCTACCGAGAGTGAGCTGTTTGGCTTTGGGCGTCGTTGAGTTGCTGGCATATTTGCCATTTCATTAGCCAAGGACCTGCTTGGAGTTTTTGCTGAGATCCTTGCAGCTTAACAGTGGACATGGTGATTTTCAACCTATCTTGCATGTCCATTGTTGGTTGTGCTATATGGCCAGAGTCCTGCTGATCGAGCTTTTGGAGGATAGTGCTCAACAGGAGGAGGCCCAGGCAACTTTTACGATGGGGCCTTCTTGTTGGCGAGAGCCCCATGTGCCGAAGCTTTGTTCCCTAGAATTTGATGATATCATGACTTCCCCTTAGGGTTTCTAGGGATAGCGGCGCCCATCCTATAAATGGGAGAGCCTTCTTTTGTTAGGAGGATGCGAGTCGCATGTTTCGATGACCAGTTCTTATTTTGACTTTAGGTGGTACGAACAGCAGCTGGGGGCCAGAGCTGTTAATCTTCCTGAGAAGACCAGATGGCGAGCCCTTGAGTTTTCCTCGTAATCTCATCTTTTGGTGAGGAAGGACTCTCCTTTGGAGGTGGTGGTGGTCCGAGGAGCCTTCCACAGACTTGATCGCTGCTCCTTGCTCGGATGAGTCATTGCCGATTGGAGCTTGAGCGATACTGGATCTGATCATAACCTTTGAGGGCCTGTTTACGATCCAACCCCAGGCCTCTTGGCTGTTCAGGCGGTGGGGTTTTCGTCTGTGACGGCAATTAGAAGCATTTGCTTTATTCTTAAGCCAGACAAGCACCATAGTGGTGTGTCTTTTCTTAGGAGGGCTTTCGGGGTTCCACTTGGCAAATACTCCCCAGAAAGCTGTTGGAGCGCTTGAGGGCTACACCTACATTGGCTCCTCATAGCCATAGGCTAATCCTCCTTAGCTTGAATGATGCGATTCCAGGTTTTGTTTAGCTTGAACAATGCAATTCCAGCGTTCTTCAAGAATGAACAAGATCAGGCCCCCTGCTTAGAATTAGGCATTTCTTCTCAGAGAAGAAAGTGGGCCTTACGGTGGGCGCCAAACTATTGATGCTCGTGAGCAAACAGTCGATGGGGGCTTTCCGCCGTAGGATGCAACTTCGATCCTGACGGCACCGAGGAGAAGGGAGAGGATGAATGTTGGGGCCGACTCCTCCTCTGACTTTACTCCCGATTCTGAGCATGCAGGGTGAGCTGATGACCTGCACATGTAAGAATTGTAGGAGTACGTGGCTAGTTTCCCCCGTGGTACCTCCGATGGTGAAGTCACCTGTGGAGCTTGAGTGAGATTTGGGGGAAGGTCCTCGGGCCATTGAGGTCCTTGGAGCGTACTATTTTGAGAGTTTTTTAGTTCTTTCTTAACCCAGGTAGGTTCGTGGTTTTTTATGAAGAAGAAATCGCCAAGCAAAAGTCACTTACCCCCTGCGTTCCTCTTTTCTCCTCCTTTTATAGTCCTTTGCCTCTGAGCGTGTTGTCCCTCGTCTTTGGTTATACATAGGAGGCGGCTGAGAGGTGAGCAGTAGAGGTGCTGAGTCATCCTTCTCTTTCCAAATGTCCACTGGCGATTGGAAGAGAAGTCATTCAAATATAGGAGAGAAACGACTTCTTAGTATCCTGGATATGATAGAAGAGGTAGGGCATAGGATAGGTCGGCTACGTGGCCGTCCTTCTCTCTCCAGGTGGCGGCTGGCGATTGGAGGGGAAGTCATTTGTGCATAGGGAAGCATCATGACAATCTTCTGGGAAATGACTTGTAAGCAGAATAAGTGGCTTGGGCACGAGGTCTGTCAGAATGGAGATTTTGATGGGACTAATCAATACTGTTGTTGATTAACATTTGAAGTGAACTTGGTCGGCTCTTATGCCTTTAGTCGAGACGGGTTGATCTGCGAGCCATCATTATGATTTGGCGACCCGATAGTCGAGTGAGCTTCGGATCGGGTGTATAGTCGAGTCGTCTACTCGAGGAGTCATCTTAATTATGAGGGGGCGACTGATCCCGCACTTCGAGTCGGTCATGATGACCCTTGATCGAAATATGGCTTGTCTGCTCATCTGGTCGAGAGACTTGACCTTGGCTGGGCTTATGAGCCTCTAAGTTGGTTTAGACCATAGCTTCCTTGGGCTTATGCAGACATTCTCCCGACCTCTATCTTTGGATGGTAAATTACCATAATAGAAGTATTATCAATGGATTTGAAATTACACTTTTACCCATCTACTCCTCTATACAAATGAGAGAAGCTAATATTTACTATTCATGCTATAGTAAATATTACTGGAAACAGGACGCTATAGCAATTTTTTTGAAAAATATTACTATAGCACGCGGGAATACTGTAGTATTTTTGAAAAAACCTGTAGCACAGGCGGGATACCGGAGTAATTCAAAAAATACTGTAGCATTTAAAATCGGGATTACTGTAGCAGGGAAAAAAATGTTTTGCACGATGTTCACACTAGTAAATAAGAATAGAGCAAAAATTTCACATTCATTCTAAATAAAAAATAGTAATTCCGCTATTCCATAGTTTAAAATTTTAGAAGTAATAGGCTTGATTTAATGGTTCTGGGTCTGATAATTCCTATCAGCCGAGCACGGAACATCCCCTTGGGGGGGGGTTATTCATTGGTGTAATTTGGGGCAAATTAGGTTAATTATCCCAATGGAGTAATTTTACCCTTTGGGATAATTTGAGTGGGATAAAGTGGGATAAAATAGGATAATGGGATAAATTGAGTGGCACAATTATTGTAATAAAATCTCAATTATTACAAATAAAACACCATTAATACAACGTCCATAGTCTAATTATGACTACATAACGCAAACAGGGAAATTTTTATGACCGAAGAACAAGTTTTCTTAAGATTAGCAATCAGCAGACTACATTTTTCAACAGCAATAGAAAAGCCCTATTTGCATATTAATACCCCAAAGCTTCAATTTGGAACTCAAGCCAAAATAAAAGGCATATGTAGGTCGGGTAAGATATAATACACACAGAATCCGACCCGTCACAGCCTAAACCACCAATTACGATACGAACTTAAAAAAAGAGGAATGTCTCTTCCTCTCACGATATAATAATCCATCTTCCGCCAAAATTTCATCTTTGACGGCATGGCAGCCCCGCAAGACGATGTATGCATCCTCCCTTACCCCCTCCCCCCCTATTTCCCCTTCAACTGTGGTCGACGAACATTCATATTTACTAATTTTTTTTTTTGTATTAATGATGGTTATGCAGAATCGGCTACAATTTCTTGAAGAATTCAGAAAGAAGTGTGCAAAAGGGCTATATCTAACCCGGAAGTTCCAATCCCTGGCCGGTCTAAACAAGTGGGTCGAGACGGAATATTCCGATCGCAATACAGATTTTTTAGGTGTCAGGAGATCGACTACCTTGTGCTGCTCCAATAACGAAACTGACAAGGAGGTATATACTTCATATAAAATGTGATCCCTGAAGAACTGGGATAGTGTTAATTAATGGAAGATCCTCCCTCTTTTTTTTTTGGAATTTGTGTACAGGTTTATAGATCAATGGGGAGAAATGTAGTGGTTCTCTTTAAGGATCAATTCAAGCTTCCGGCAGAAATTAATAAGAAATTTCAACCTGTGTTGGAAGGCACTCCTCCGGTAGTGCTACATACTAACATCCATCATAAAAGCTCACATCATATTATTTTTTTTTGCGTAAATTATACTCACAGCGATCTGTTACTTAAATTGAACATTGCTGTAGGAAGTGATAGATGCTCAACTTCGAAAGTCTGAACATGATGTGTTGGAGATTGTTAATCAGGCACGGGACAAGGTTTGCATCTTCTTCTGAAAGGCTACATCTAATTTTAATTGATCCCCAGTTTTGTTTATATCAATTATCCAACCTTTTTAGGCTGATAAAATCATAGGAGGACTGCGAAAAGAGGCTGAACAAAGCCTGCAACGCGATAAGGCCCTTTTGCTTTTGTTGCTCAATAGGGAGGACTATTATGAAATGGTATGTGCTGCACATGCTATCTTGATTAGTATATGGTGGGTCTTGTTTTTCGTCTAGTGATTTGCTGGAGTAATTACCCTCTACCTGCAATAATTTGTTATTGAGTCTTCACACCAACATAGAATCAGTTACTTCTATTTATATTGCTCTTGGTATATTTTGAAATCTACTGTATCCTTATTTAGCCTTAGCATAACTCTGGAGCGCGTCTTTGTTGCCATGGCAAATCATCTCTTCCTCTTGGTAATCTTCTTTTTGTTTTGATATTGCCACGGCTTACTTCCCAAGATATAACAGTGGCAAGGCCTGACTATTTCGGCAACGTATCTATCAGGAAAGAATGCCCAAGCGTCACTAAAGTTACGAAAGTATATAATCCATTATTAGATTTGTGGAAACCATATAATGTCTACAAGAATTAATCTAAATAATACTTACCGCTATCCAATGTTTTAAATATAGGTCGATTTATCAATTTATCATTGATATATGGGGTTTGGACCATGGCCGATAAGATTTTTGTAAAAATTTATCGCATATTGTTTTTGGCCGATTTGCCCTGATATATCGGTGTAAATTTCTCCCTCGAAGACCTCTTTCGACCACCTCTCTTGAAGACCCTCTCTCGATATTTCGTTAAATGTGCTTAGATTTTATTTTAGGATATTATATTTTTTTATGCTCACCGATATAACACTGATTTTTACTCTTTATCCCCAGATTTTATTTTAGGATATTATATTTTTTTATGCTCACCGATATAACACTGATTTTTACTCTTTATCCCCAATATATCCTCAATAACTGGGATCCGAACACTGATTTTTACTCTTTATCCCCAATATATCCTCAATAACTGGGATCCGATATGAATTCTGGTTGTCTGATAAATTTTCGATAACCGATGTGTAAAACCTTGCCACTATCTCATCATTCAACGCTTAGTGCACAATTTATATCAACAAATCTACTTAACTGCTATCCCTCCTAATGTTTGCCCCTTTCAACCTAAACCTACAACGCTCCGTTTGTTTGCAACCCCTTTCCTTGCCCAGTGGCCACATTCCCTTCCCCCACAAGATGAGGAAAGTTTCAAAGATGAATTTCGGTAATTATTGGTTAAAGGTGAGAGTTTTGATTGAAGGCAAAGAAAACCATCGCATTCCCTCTCTTTGACTTCGATGAAATTTTCTCCAGCTTCAAGGCGTAGTCATTTGCTATTTATACGGGCTTGTGACTTGTGAAGGATTGCAAATGGTTTTGTTTATGCCTATGGGGCTGGTTTCGATCATAAATGTTGCAACTTGTAAGTGAGTTTAGTTATGAGTTGATTTTTTTTAGAATTCGGAGTGGAATTTTGGCTGTCGGTAAATTGAGTTTTAAGAATACTTTTGTTTAGAAGAATATTTGTTCTGAGTTTGATTAGCAGTGATCGAGTTCAAATGCATGTTAGCCTTGCAATTAAACACTACATATTTGCGAGAGAGATTTTGTTTAGTGGTCTATATATGAATACAACCCCAAAGAAAATATAGTCGTAATAGAGTTAAGAAAACAAAGAAGCATTCATAGGGACGTGTAGTCTAGCCTTGTTATGGTGCCCTCCCTATTTGTTGAGTACAGACATAGAAGAGTTTTGTTGGGATTAGTTGGAAAGGTTGGACCATCTCTTTCACCAGTGACTTTTCTGTTGTACACTCACTGATGAAGATGAGGATGTCATGGATGATCCCCTGTCCATCTCTCGCTAAAATTGATTTAATTAAAAATAGATAGTTATAGAGGAATAAATTTATAACATGAACCACTAGAATAGTTGGTATATTTCATCAAAAGCTAGTTTTATCCAATGTGTGTTAACTAACCAACATCTAACATATATCCAGATTTGGAGGGTAAATTTGGAAATAAGGATGATTTGAGGGGTATGTATGTATAAACCCCTGAAAGTTAATCTCTAGTGCATGCAGTAGTCTTTCTCTACCACATCCATCATTAAATAATATGAACAATCTGTGTCCCCATCCTCTGATTTGATTGCTGAGCAAAGAACCACTACTCAGAATATTTAAGTAACCAAATTTGGATAGTCAGGATGCAATCTAGAAGTGTTGCGAAAGGAAGAGGGTATAAAAATAAGAGCAGCTACTAAAAAGAAAGAAACATTTAGCAAGTTTTTCTTACAAAGAACATCATTTTGCATCGTATACATTTGCTTTTCTTACTCACAAAATGATATACATTTACTGCAACCTTCCTTATCCTTTCAGTTGCAGAAAAATGTTGATCTTGAGAGTCTCGAGTTTCTTCTTTGACACACCCTCATAAAGGGCAAATATTATATTTGGTAAGGGAGGGGATATTGATGTTTAAGAAAAATGTACCTCACATGGAACTAGATTAGTTTTCAACACTTTCAGGGTGCCATAAATTTACCATTAGACATGCTTTTGACACCTTATGGTTCTGATTCTTTTCATCTCACTGAGGAACTGCTTTAGTTATATTGATATTTGATACGATAATGGCAATGCTTTGGAAACCTTTATAAGTGGTGTTGCGTGATCTCTACATTACAATTACAACGGTTATATAAATTATCTAACCACCTTTAATCCTATTGCGTATACTTTGAATCTACATTACAATTACAACGGTTATATAAATTATCTAACCACCTTTAATCCTATTGCGTATACTTTGAAGTTAATTTGGTTTTAAAGAGAAAGATTGAATTTTTTTACATTTAATCCATCAGAAGAATTCTGATGCACTCAAGAAAGTATGTGTTTTGAAAGGCCGTATAGACTTTCTTCTGCATTGCTATTTTTTGTGTAAGCTTCACTAAAATTTTATACCATTTTAGAGTGTGCTATATATAAATTTGGTGATGCTGATAAAATCTTTGTTTAGACTTCTCAACTCTTAGAGAATAACCCCATCTATTGTTTTTTCTTCCAGATTGATTGCTTTTTGCATGATGTAAGAACCTATCGTGCAAGAGAAATGAAGAAAATACGCAAAAACCAAAATCTTCAACGTTCATCGGTAAGTCTTCATTAATACAAGGTGGAAGTCCATAATTTGTTGCACTGTAGGAGAATAAAAATGAAAAATTATGGTGAAAGTCAGGAAGGAGTGCTTTAACCCTAAACAGTTTAGTTGGTGTTAAGAATTTTCTCCATGTTCTATTTCTCTTTTGGGTTGAAATGAATAAGATAGGGAATGAATCTTCATGGTCATTTTCTGTCCAGCTCAATTTTTAGGTGTTTGTCTTGCATTACCCTCCTTCAGAACGTGATCCGGTCTGCTTGCCCAAATATGAATTCTTTTCAATCATGCATCTTGTACTATCTAATATTTTTTGAGGTGTCTGTTTTGCATTGTTTTGTAGTTTTAGAAAACTCAAGACTCAAGAGTTCACTTCATCCATGGTATTGCAGGCTTTAAAGTTGCAATATATTTCAAAAGGGTTGCCCCTCGAAGTGGTAAATACGTATTTCATTGTATGTAGTCGATTATCTAGCTTGGAGGATGCATTTGATTCGTTATTCGCCGCAACATCAAGAAATATTCAAAAGCTACAAGATAATACTCGAAAGCTTTTGCTAGTTCAGTTGGCAGAAAAAGATTATGAGGTTATATATGAGTACATTAATTTCTCATGAAGTAGGCTTTCAGCTTAAGTTGCTGACACTTTTATCTTTTTGCAGCTTCTTACCTTAATCGTTAGAGCCGAACTTGATCTCCGTGGCAATGTAGAGAATTTCCGTGAAGATCGTGAAAACAAAGTGTATAGTTTAGCAAATTTTCTCAAAAATCATCCCGAAAGTGACAAGGTATTTGTGTTCATATATATTTACAACATCATATATTTTCTTTATCTTCAATCGTAATTTTTTTGAGAACTATTTCAGGCTATCAATACTTCTTTGAGTAGTTATTTTCAGAAAAAGATGGTGTCTGCTGATAAAGAAAAAAGAAAGGTATGCATCTTCTCCAGTATGCTCATCAATTGGTTTTTTATCAACCCTAACTTTACTTTCAACTGTCGAACTTCTTAGGTCAATACATTTCATCAAATCGTAAGAGAACAAGATAATAATTGTCCAGGAATGGACATAGCTGAAAAATATGTTCTTCTTTTAACAAAGGAGCATTGTGCGAAGGTATGTACTATCAGATAAATATTGTATCAATTAAATTTCTGTTATCCAGCAGCTGTCTCCAACACATATAGAATAGAAAATTATTTAATTTTTCCTTATCAGATAGTCTTCTCTTCTGTATTCTAGACTTCTTTTTATGTCCATCTTATGTGCATATTTATCACCTATTAAATGTTTGAGGTAACTGCACTTTTGAACGTAGAATGTCAACATGTAGGAGTTTGTATTCAGCAATCTTCTCGAGTACAAACCTTTCATCCTTTTACCTTGATAATACCCCTTATATCTGTCTGCAAACATTTGGTACGCATCATGTTCCAGACATGGAGACTAGTGCTGAATGGGTGAGAAATTGTTGCCTAGACTTAGTTTCCATGGCATCGGAGAAAAAGAAGGGAAAGGATTTTTGGGTTTACTCCTAACCTACAACTCCATCTAAAACTTGATTAGGATATTTTCTCCTGACGAGCTCTAAAAGTCTGACTCGACCCTTGATCTCGGCAACAACCTACAATCTAGTTACAAATTCCTCACCATTCCTAGCTCCGCACAATCATGAGCACGATGATGATTGGGTAACAGGCGCAAGCTCGCAATGTCCGGGGCAATTGGGTTCTGATTGGCCAAGGATCCGGATCTGATCACTTTAGGATTATGGATCTTATTGCAGAAGAGTCTGAACTAGGGTGGATCTTATTGCAGAAGATTCTAAAGGTTGAAGATTGTAATAAGTGGAGGAGTTGCTGAAAGAGTCTTGGAACAAAGGGTGAGTCTATACATGTACCTATTGATGAAGATGATGATCAAGCTATGTGCAGAAAGCATGACATTTAAGGCTTAACTTCAAATTAGGATAGTTTTAGTTTTCTTTCCAACTGAGTTTATTATTATATAACTATATATTGAGGATATGTATAATATTTTGGGTTAGATTTTAATTACCTCATGTCTTCTTGAGACATCTGCTTTGCTTGTTCTCCACAGAAGCATGGAGATGAAAAAAGGGGGTAATTTCTTGTTGCAAATGACTATAATCAGTAATTTGATTTGATTTGATTGGCTATTAACACCATTCTTTATCCATGTGCCCATGAATCTCCTTTAGCTCCATTGCAAATGGACTTTAATTTGGACTGGCTGAAGTTGTCTACGAACTAAAAGAAAGGTTCATAGATGAACTTTAAAATGACTAAGAGAAAGATGTAAATGTGAACATGTGTTACTTTTTTTGTGGGGAGGGGGGGTGCAGGGGGGAGTAGTTGCTCTCGCGGCCCTTATGAAAATGAAGGACCAATAAACATTTTATCCACCTCATTAACATGGTTCCTTTTATAATTAGTTTATCGTCAATTGCGCTAATTTCCTCATTTATGGCATTGATTGTTATAAAATCTTAGAAAAAATAGATGCATTTTGAAACTCAGCTAGTGAAATTTTCTAAATCGGTTATCCCTAAACAAAATCCTTCAATTGTTCGCTGTTAAATTTGTCTCATTTTTAATTAGCTTTTCATTGTAGTTGTTAGATCTGCTTGATGTTAGGCTGTTTAATTCTTTAGACGTAGACACATGCTTGGAATGCAAATATCAGTCCTGTTATCGATTTTTGCAGGTGGATGCAGTTCTACGTCAAATAGCGTTGTTCGAAAATGTCCTTCTAGGAGACTATCTTGTGTGGAAGAAGTGGAAGGACACAGAGTCAAGTTTAAAATTGCCGGAACTAACTTTCCCTGATTTTATTTTAGAGCCTTCAATATTGATGCAACAATTTAGGGAATCCGTGCAGATTGAATAGCATGTAGAGTTGGGGCTAGAAGAGGAACTAGATCTCCACTGATCAAAGGTATTTTTTTTATTTTATTATGGCTATGTGCATGCCTTATTCTATTTAGAACATCCATTATTTGCGCCTGAAGGGAGAAAGGAAATAGTATTATTACCAACACTGTGATGTGGTGAAGACTTTTCAAGAAGTATGCGTTTAAGAGGTTTTGACATCAATCTTTCTGGATCTGCTTGGACCAAAATATAATATTTATTCTTATTGTTATTGCTTCTGGTTATGGGCTTAGCTTAATATGAGTGTGTCCTGAGTGAGGGATTTATGGAGTTGGACACTGGATTCTGCATATATCTTTCAATGAAACGCCCTATACCTCACCTGATAAGTGCAAAGACAATTTGCAAATCTATGGAAAGCTTAAAATTAGAATAATGATAATTACACTACTCCTTTCAACACTACTTCCACACTGTAAGCGAGAAGTGTGGGTTCCCTTGATAAATCATATATTTTCAAAATAGTTAAAAGAGAATTGGACCCACAATTTTCTCTCGTATATTTTAGTAGTGTAGCAGTAGTAGTGTAAATATCCCTATTCTAAGGGGTGTTTGGTTCACCAAATTTATAGAAAATTTTATCAAAACCGTCTTACAATGACATTTTTGTAATTAATTGGTGTCTATAGGTTTAAAACTCATTTGGGTTTACAAAATGTTTAAAGAAATAGATTTCTATAAAGTAAAGAAAAGGGGTATATTTAGTAGGAACCCACTTCCTCAGGAAAAGGAGTGACAATCTGACAAAACCCACTTTATCCCATTAAAATGTTACCCTTTTCTCTACTTGGTGGACACCTTTTCCTCTTTTCTTCTTTCTCAAGTGAAACAAACAAAAAAAGGGGAGAAACCTTTTATTATTTTTGGGCTTCCTTATTTTGTGCTTTTGAACCAAACTAGGAAAGGTACTCAAGATAGAAACCCCTAATTTTTGACACAACCGAAATAAATTTCATAAAAATTTGTAGAAACACTTGGAAACTATTTTTTGTCCACTTCTCCTGTTCCTTTTTTTAAATGATATTCGAACCATACATGCCCTAAAACTAAGAGAAATAGGATGGCATGGCTAGTTCCTTTTTTTAAATGATATTCGAACCATACATGCCCTAAAACTAAGAGAAATAGGATGGCATGGCTAGGCTTTAATGGTGTAAACTACCAGTAACTTTCTATAACTGCAAGAAAACATGGAAAAACAGGAATTTTTTTAAAAAAAAATTGTAAACAAGTTTACTCTTAATAGGCGATGTTTTTCTTGACAATTACCATAGTCTATTTATTTACGTGCAACAATAACAGCCATACTGAAGCATCTACAAGCTTATATTTATGTATATGTTAGATATCTCACCATTATAATTTATAAGGCCCTAGGAGATAATTTTAGTGATCAAAGATAACAAAGAACATTTTAAGATTCAATACTCTGTCCTTCAGCTTGATTTGCAATTTCTACAAGAACCGAAGAAAGAGAAGCTTAAAGTATGATTGTGAAGAGGCATATTAGAGGTTTCGAGCTAGTTTTAAATTTAGTTTGATACAAGTTTGTTAATTTATCCATGCTTTATTTCATGTTGGTAAAAATTTTCAGCTCAAGTAATACTAGTGTTTGATAAAGTGAAGTTTAATATGGGGAATTTTTATTGAGAATTCTGCTGATGCAACTAAATTGATACAATATTTCTTCTCTCTCACACACACACATATTGATCATCATGATATTACTTGGTTATATCTAGCTGGTTTTTTCCTTTTTGCAAAAGATTTATCAGTTTTTTGCGTGCCACCCTGCAGGCATGAGTTGTCACATGTTCTTAGGGTAGCCAATATGTTGGATTGTATGTCGATGTATAGCTAACATAAAGCTAAGTGGCTCACTGAGATTGATTCTTAAGCAGCCACAGCCACTTACTGACATTTCCGCTAAAGTGTGATTAGTGTCCACCAAAATAATTTTTATCAGACAACTTAGATTAAATAAGGATGCTGGACGTGATTACTACAAAAATACATTAAAGCTTATTTCAGCCACGTAAGAAGAGAAAATTAGAAAATAAAGGGGCAAAAGATAAAAAACATAAGAAAATACGAAAAGCAAGGAAGTTTGAAAAGCTCTTGTGCTGTTTGCAGGGGTGACAGAGGTATTACTCATTGACATAGTAAGTCTCGCGAGAGGTGGCGACGAACACTTCATGATTCAATGCCACTGAAAGTCATAGACCCCCAACTCCAACTTTTGATGGTTGAGAGGTTGTAATTTACAATAAATATTCTAAAATATCTATATTCACAAGCAATTAACTAACATAAAAAATTTTGCCATTTTTTGAACTAACCACTTTAAATGTCAATAGTTCTCTAGTATCTTTAAACCATATATCAGTATAAATGAAATAAAATCTCAACAAGTTAATTTCTAAATGAAAGAAGTCCTTCCAAATAACAAAGAAAATGTTTCGGTAACTAATGTCCTCACTTGACCACTTCAAAGTACAAGATAATTTCAACTTTTCAATTTGATAGGAATTTGGACCTAGTACTAGACCAATGTAAATTAAGGACACCTAATTGCTTATCCTGACCATTCTTAGTCCTTCTAGTCAAGGCAATTATCACCAGGGAGTATAAAAGATTTTATGTGAGCAGCCACATGCACTGAACATGATTTTATAATCGAATCAAGATGAAAAATACATCTACATTAATGGAATAAAATTTCAATTATTTCATCAACTCCAGTACATCCTGATAATCAAATTTTGTATAAACGTTAGTGTCAAAATCCGTGGTTTTTAAATCACCTCTGACTGGGATTAATATCACAATGGTCCGAAACCCATAATGGGTGAATAAAGGACGAAATTCCAAAGATAAATACCATAAAGATCAAAATCTTAAAGGATGGCTGTCATTAGCCCTAAAACCTGCATGTCCCTAATGGATGGAACCCCAAAGATAGTGACTAATGCACAATCACAAAGGTAAAATGCTTGAAACCCTAGATGAAAACTAACTTCCCCGCTAATTTAACATTGTAGATGTTAAGATCCTCTAAACCTCGTGTATTCAGAAATCGATGTGAAAATTAAATTCACTCACAAAACCTTTCAACCAAGTATTTCAAAATAAAGTTTGTATGACATCTAAAACCATGAAACTAATAGAATCTGAAGCTTTCAATAAATGCAATATTCACAACCATGTGTAACTACAGAAAATGTAAATAATTCCACATTGGCTAGTTCCACATTGGAAGCATCTGGTTTCCTTTACAATCATGATATATTTCCCTGGTCATAAGCTTTTGTATGGGTTTTCCTTGAGTTCTTTTTGGCTATTTAATACGTGAGAGAAACATCTTTGATATAAACATTCATGATGGTCAATGCTTGGCAATTATATGAGAACGATGAAACCACGACCATCAAACAAGTACTCACACGGGATAATTCCACATGCTGCCTACTTATTTTCTTTGGGATAATAGAAGGTGTATAATCAGTACTCATAGAAGTCTAGCATTTCTTAGTCTTTTCTGTTTTTTTAAGCTCTGTGGACGACTTCTGAGGTGTTAAGACGAAATTATATGCAAAACAAATAACACGTGATACATCTTGATTATGTTTTGTAGTTAAATGCAGTAACTCTCTCTCTCTCTCTCTCTCTCTCATAATAACCCTTTCCTTGGAAGAGTGAAATCAACATTCTCATCCTGGCTTTACTAAACTGAACTAGAGATGTACAACGTTCTCTAAAATTATGACGCTCTCCTTGCAAGAGTGAAACAACACTCTGACCATCCATCCCTGCATCAAAGGTTTCAATCTCCCTCCGTCCCTCCTTATATATGTTAATAATGAGTATGCTTGGTACCAAATACCAGCACACAAAATTTGGTGCTGTGTAGTGATGTGACCACTTTACATCCACCCATTTGATGAGTGAGCAAATAAGTGGGGACTGTTTTCAAGTGGAATGAGAATAAGTCATTTCACTACCACGCACCAAGTTTCTGCTTGGTACCAAGTATGTCCATTATGCTCTCGCGCACACAGATAAACACACATATTTATACTCATAGAGAGATTAATGAGTATCATTGTATACGAGGGAATCCCCTCGTATGATATATGATACCCATTAATCATTATATATATAAAGTGCATCCAAAACTTTATTATGTGCAGTCAGTGTACTCGATTCAATTCATTTTGATTTATATGCCTTAGATTGTATGCAAAAAAAAAGGCATAATGCATTAACTGGTTTTAAAATAATGGTGTTATGATAATATAACTACCGAGACGCTGAAAAATATGTGTTACACATCATGATTTTTATTTTGTAGATGTTTTAAACATTTAAATCATAATGAATGGAGCTGATTATTTATTGGAATAGTCTAATCCTAGGATCAAGAGACGTGTTTCCTTTGATTGGATATAAGGTGTCACATTAGGAATACTTTTTCCTATGCGCGTGCATGCGTTCGTGTTTGTGTGTATACAGTGTTCTCTATGTATAATAACCCTCTCGTAGCAATAGGGAAACAACACTCGCACCCTCCATTGAAGGGTTCAATACTTTGTTGAGATCTTGATGTTTACGTCCACATATTCTTTCCATGAAATATTTTGCTTATTCAGTTATGTACTCACTACTCAAAAGTATCTTTATATACAAGAACATCATGGGATCACCGCTTATATAATTAGTTTTTTATCGCTATTTTTTGATGCAATAAATTAACAGTGTTTTGGCACCGTCTCTCACACCATGCACAACACATGCTCAAAATGGATATTTATTGTTGGCAAAAATGATAAATGAAATTATGGAGACATGCAGGGACTGGTATCTTTGTCTTAATTGAGTTTTTTTTTTCATTTTTAATTGTTCTTTTCTCTGAAATTAATAATTCTGCTTTTTGTGATAGATTTTCAGCTGCAAGATTATTGGACTTTTGCCACAGTGGCTGTTTGACGGTTGTGATTGTGCTCATATGAAATGCATGTTGGAATATCATTAGGCTACATAGTAATGCACGACATAATGAGCCGTTATAGGTGCACATTGTCTTGCCATAGCATAACTTATTTAAGTATGCAAGATTGGAATTGTTGGAAACTTGTGTTCGACTTTTTTTTTTTTTTGGAAACACTGTTTTTCTACGAACCTAGATGCTGTTAATTTATAAAAACTGCAATCTTGAATAGCAATTAGGATGCAGGTGCAGCGAGAAACTTGGGTCTTTTTGTGCTAACGGACTTCTGAAGGATGTGGTCTAGTTAACTCTGAATGCTTGTGCTCGATGCTAGTTGAATCTACCAATCTTATTTATTTGCTAACATGAATAGTTTGAAGTTGAGTTGGACTAGCATTCTGTTTTATGTGTGTGTGTCAATATTACATTGTCAAGACCATGGGAATAATAGCTATCATGACAGTCATTGCACCCCCAGAAATTATCCTCAACCATTTCTTCCTCCACATTATCCATCTGCAAGAACCAAATGACATTAACATATGTAAATTGTGCATAAATAGGAAGCTACATAATCATATGCAATACCAAAGTTAATGAGCATGCAAGTACTATCTATAAATGGATTTTAATATACCAGTAATTGAAACGGAAAATATAAACATTAACCAAGACTGTGATTTGTATGGTATGGTTAAATTTTTTTTTGCAAAATCTAACAGTTATTTAAACGTTAAAGAAAATTATTAATTATCTACAAAAACTATGATTATCTCTTGCATGCATAAGCATTGATAACTACTAGAACTTATGAATTTTTTCAAAATTTTTTTGTTCACTTGAAGGGAATTGGTATTCTAAGCGTAACTGAACAACTTTTTGTGATTTGGCGTTCACAAAATAGTCCAATATCTAATAAGTTTGTAATATAATTTGCGTACATTAAATATTCATCTTATCCACACATATAAAAACAATAAAACCAAAAGACATCAAAATAGAGTGTTAACTCTTTATTCAGAGGATGGAAGAAGGCTTACAGATATGCTAGAAATTATAGCTGAACTTGTGGAGTACTATAAAAAGATACTGGGCAACGCAGTGAACACAACAGAGCCAGATCATGCAATTATCTCTGATGGCCCTATTCTCACAGATTCCCATAGAAGTAATTTAGGATCTCCTATCACCAAAGAAGAGATTAAACAAGCTGTATTTGCAATTCCTAGTGAAAAAGCCCCTGGACCTGATGGTTATAGTGCATCCTTCTTTAAAAGTGCTTTGGATATCATTGGTAAAGACATGATTAAAGCTGTGTAGGAAATTTTCAAGTCTGGTAAGCTTCTTGGCTCTCTCAACACAACAACCATCACATTAGTTCCTAAAGTTCTAAATCCCAGCTCACCTTCTTATTTCAGACCAATTTCTTGTTGTAATTGTGTCTATAAAGTGATCTAAAAAATAATGACTACTAGAATTTAGAAAATTATAGGGTATATAATTGATGATGCACAGAGTGCCTTTATCAAAGAAAGGATTGTCTCAAATAATATCCTACTTGCACATGAGCTTGTCAAGCATTATGGTAAAAGTCACATATCGAAGGATTGTCTCAAATAATATCCTACTTGCACATGAGCTTGTCAAGCATTATGGTAAAAGTCACATATCTCCTAGGGCTACCCTCAACATATGAGCTTGTCAAGCATTATGGTAAAAGTCACATATCTCCTAGGGCTACCCTCAACATAGATTTGAGGAAGACTTTTGATACAATAAGCTGGAGCTTTATCAAGACCATGCTGACAGGTTTGGGATTTCCAACTAATATGCTAGGATGGATTATGGCATGTGTAACTATTACAAAATTTTCTCTATCTTTCAATGGGTCACTGCATGGATACTTTGAGGGAGCAAGGGGATTAAGGCAGGGTGATCCTTTATCACCATACATGTTTGTTATTAGGATGGAGTACTTGTCCAGGAGGTTGAAAAAACTCAAAATTGACACTTTGTTCAAATACCACCCCAAATGTTCTGGCTTGGGAATAACTCACTTAATCTTTGCAGATGATTTATTGCTATTTTGCAGAGCTGATATGAACTCAGTTAGTAAATTGCATGGTTGTCTTCAAGATTTTAGCAGGGTATCTGGTTTGGAGGCAAATCCAAGTAAATGTGAGTAAATTGCATGGTTGTCTTCAAGATTTTAGCAGGGTATCTGGTTTGGAGGCAAATCCAAGTAAATGTGATGTGTACTTGGGTGGAGTTGAAGATAATATCAAAGGCCAGATCTGTTCTCGCCTGAATTACTCAGAAGGCTCTCTACCAGTTAGATTCTTGGGGATGCCTCTGATTTCTAAAAGGCTTACTCATCTAGATTGCTCACCATTGATAAGCAAAATCTCTGAGCAGTTTCAAGGATGGCAGAACAAAAGGAAGCTATCATATGCAGGAAGAATTCAATTGATTAAATCTGTCATTATAGGGATTCAGAATTACTGGACAAGTAACTATGTGCTACCCATCAAGGTTCTGCAAAAAATTGATAAACTTTGCTCTGATTTCTTATGGAATTGCAAGACACATCTAGTCTCTTGGTGTGATATATGCAAAGACAAGAAGATGGGAGGTCTGGGTTTATACACTACAAAGGATTGGAACTATGCACCTGTAATCAAATTGCTATGGATGATTTTCACATCAAAAAAGATATATTGTGGATCAAATGAGTGCATGAAAAGTATATACACCAACTGGATATATGGCAGGTTCAATCAAAGGGAACTGGTTCTTGGATGTGGAGGCAATTACTCAAAGTAAGAGATATGGCTCTTAGAAAATTTGGAGATAGAAGCAACCTGCAAAGAACTATGAATAATTGTTATGTAAATGGAAAGTTACAGATATCAGCTGTATATAAAGCTCTGACCCATTCAGGAACACATGCTACATGGTCGGATACAATTTGGGGTGGCTTACACTATCCTAAACATTCAGTTATTTTGTGGCTAACCACCCTCTCCATGCTACTGACAAAGGACAGATTATGTAGGTTGAGAATGCTAAATGAAAACCGGTGTATCTTGTGCTCAGTTCAACAGGAAACATGTAAGCACTTATTTTTTGAATGTTAGTATTCAGCACATATTTGGAATGTAATAATGGAATGGTTAGACTACTCATGGAGATCATGTAGCTGGGATCAAGTTGTGAACTGGTATAGTACAAATCTGAAAGGAAAGAGATTCATGAAGAAGATAAAGAGAATAGCATTGTCGGCGACTGTATATTGGATTTGGAAGGAAAGAAACTTGAGAATCTTTCAAGGGAAGCTCCATACACCTGCTCAGTTAGTCAGAGAGGTGAAGATTTCTATCTTATCAAATGTGCTAAATGAAGAAATTCCTGAACATATAAAGGAAAAAATAGGGAAAATGTAAGATAATAGCTTGATGAGAATCTGTTTTTTTTTTTTTTTTGTTTCTTGCCAGAGATGAATTGGTGAAGCTGTGATGTACTCACACTTGCAAAATTTAGGAGATGAATAAAATTTTATTTTATTGACCAAAAAAATCACGAAACAAACAACAAGACTCCTTTTTTATGGTAAAAATCATAACTTTATATTTTAGATGCGACATATAATCTTCATAGAATCATAGATTACCAAAAAATATATATTTTTAGGAGAAAAAACAATTAAATCGAAGTGACTATACCTTTCAAATTGGGTCGATTGAACGATTCAAGTGTGAGAGAAAAGGCAGATCAAACACAAGCAAACCAAAAAAGTTGAAATACACCAATTGTATGGCCGGATTTTTTGTATAATAGAAGAAACGGATAGCAGATCAACATAACTTTAGGGTTTCTAATGAAAACCCACAAAATTTCCTTTTTTGTTTAATTTTTAGGGGATTTGATATAGGGTTTGGAACACAGAGAGATCTCCAATGGAGGCGGGATAAGGGGGGGGAGATATATAATGAGAGAGATGTTTTATCGATTTCCAAAACTTCCCACCAGAAAACCCACTAACCTCTTTCTCCAATATCTATATACTATTACTAATAAGTGTTACTGTTGGTTATGCCACTTGTCAAAAATGCCACTTGGCAAAACTCCACCCATACTTACTGCAATTTCATCTTTACATTTCAAACCTCCAGTGCTTCGAT